TAATACCTTATTTAGTACATATTTTATGATGTGATGGGAAGTGTAAGGCATGAAAGTGCTAACTTACTTAGAAGTGCTAAGTTAACGGACCTTTTTATTCTTTCTATCATCTTTAATATTATCAATGTAAATGCCCCATTTCAATTATTACTACTGCAATGAGAAAATTGGATGCTATACCTCACTAAATGCTGAAAATTCCATATTTGTATCTAGGGTACTATCTGGAATGGAGCTATTACTATTGTTATTTTTAACCATAATCCACTCGTAACGCGTAAAATGTCACGGGATTTTAAATTTCACAGAAGTTCTGTGTTATTCTGAGAGTTAATCAATTAGCCTTGGAGTTAGTAAACACTGAGTGTGACCTGATAACTGAATTTATTCTTATCTTTGTTCTAATTCTCACATATTTTCTCATATAAACATATGGATATTTGAATATTTTTTTAGTTAATGACCAATCTTATAAAAACAATGGATATCGGCGATACTTCTGTGAAGAAATATAATACACTTGCTTTTAGCCTAATATACTTTGTCCTGGGTAATCAATTAGTACCATTAGTCTGCATACTCCAAGTGTTATCATCAGACTATGGAAATATGACCCAGTGGATTAAGTACTCAACTCGGGAGCAGTGGGTTTTGGGTCCGAATCCCACACCATCTACTGGAGTACTATTGTAAAAGCAGAAGGCAAGACAGAGAAGTAAACGTATATTTTACATTAGTCAATCCGCTGTCTTTATATCTATACAGTTTATATTCTTTAACCAATCACTGAGCGTGTGATTTTGGTTTACATTAAACGACTTGAAACAGAATGTTCAGATATACATAGTATTCTGTTGCTAATGCATTAAGAAAATAAAAGACAGATTCAGCGAAGAGAATTTTCCTTATCGACGAAATCCATACGTGATGACAATACCGACATGGAATTGATGACTAAAGAGTTCAGCAGCTGCCATCATGCCATCAAGTTCACGTCGGAATCAGAGATTAACTCGTAATACCATTTTTTGGATGTTTTTCTAAAGAGGAGATCTGATGGTTCTCTTCAAAGATCGATCTACAGGAAACCAACATGGAATGGTCAGTACACAAATTTCCATAGCTCGGTCCCTTTGAGAAGAAAGAGAAATCTGATCCATTCCTTATCCTCAAGAATAAGGAGGATATGTTCAAGTGATACAATCGATGGGGAACTGGAGCGACTCAGACAAGTTCTCATAGAGAATGGATATCCTCCAAGATTTATCGAGAAAAACATGAAGTTAAGAGAAAAGCCTGAAAGAATCCAGACGGTGCCGAAGAAACTGCTTTTTATGAGTGTTGAATTTAAAGGTGATACCGCAGCTGAGATGCCGAAGAATCGCTTATGCAGATCACTGAAGAAAGCCTTTTTTATGGCTAAGCTACGTATCAATTTCTACAGCCGACAAATGATCAACGGATGTGTGAATGATAAACTGCCGCTTTGGGCCACCTCAATGTGTGTTTACAAATTCACCTGCTCGTGTGGAGCTAGTTATATTGGCCGTACAAAGCGCACGCTTTCCAAACACATCTCTGAACATTATCCGGTATGGTTAGCAAAGGGACAGTGCAAGACAATTACTAGCTCGATTCTCGAGCATTTGGTGAACTCAGCCCACGTATGTAGGGGACTAATATTAGAGTTCACTAACATTACAAATATAAAAATAATAATCCAAGTCAATGTAGTGTTAAATCACAATATATTACCAAAAATGCAGTGACGAGTTGTACCAACAAAAAGGATTACTTGGATATGAAGTCTAAGTCCTCTGCTACAAATTATGTATATAATCCACGGGTACGTTAATTGTTTGGACTGCGTCTGCCGTGGCTGCTGTGTTCCGGTTGTAGAAATGTCTTCGGTTGAGAGTAGTAGACTCCTACAATAAAACCGAAGTATGCAACACGGTGTGAGTTGAGCAAGCAAGCAGAAATAACCAGGGAGAAGACGAAGTCTCCAACACCAGAGTGTATTTTTCAAATGTACACGGAAGTTATATATATTTCAACAAGAAGCGTTTTAAACAAAAATTATGTACAATATCTCTAATTTCTACAAATAACCAAAAAGTGTACAATCACATTGTTACGTACTCCACACGTAGCTCCACCAGAGTCGTCTTTCAAGATCATCTACAAAGTGAAGTCAGTTGGTACAAAGGGCGTCAGGTTTCGGCTTTTGTGTATGGTGGAGGCGCTGGCAATTCAACAATACAACCCTGAACTCTGTATACAGAAAAAAAATTTGTCCAGTCTCTTATTCTATCTTGGCCTTAACCTCTTCACTAATCTTTCCCTGTAAAAAATTTTGATTTTTTCTTTTTAATTTTACTTTTAGTTTGTTTTTGCTTTAATAATTAATTCACTATTATCAATCTCAAATGCTCCTTTTGTATATTTTCACACCCTCTTCACATTTGTTAAATTGACACTCAAATACCCTTATTCTCACTCAAGAGCAATTTTAACCTTATCAAACTTCTATCTTTGTGCCGTTGAGTATTATGTAATTTACAACTTTTAATTTTCACTTCTATAGCCACTTCTGAGTAATTATACCAATTATGTCCCCCCATATTACTCAATAATAGACCATTATACATTTTCTAAGTATAAATACGACTGTACAGCCTCTGAAGATGATTTTGTCGGTAAAGAAAATTTTCTTTGCTGAATCTGTCTTTTATTTTCTTCATGATTAATGCATTACTGGACTGTGGGAATAATATTCCGTTGGAAGACAGTCTGTGTCACACCACAACAGAATAATTAGCCCTCGTGCAATAAGTGAAGCTCATATTCTGATATATGAAAAGTCTGTTCCGGCTAAATGAGTTTAAACAACAACAGTATCATTAATAGTAATCCTCATCTTGTAAATGAACTGTAATTGCTGTACATGTTTCAGATCCGCTTGAAATTTGTTTATTTTTCTTTCTGTGTACATTTGGGGAGTCATTTATTTCTTACTATGAATCATTTTCGACACATTTCTGCTGTTACCTTCTGATTGCATCATAACAGTGCTTTTGACGGTATTCAGCTTAGATATCTCACAATTTAATGTTTGTAATTTAACCTTAAGGTTAATTTTCATATATAGTCATTTAATTTATGATTGGTGAATCGGTGGTTCAATGGCACAATGTTCGCCAATCATGTAGGCTATCTGTGGTTCGATTCCTGGCTAACGTACTCCTAAACATCCAGCTAACTAGTTAATGCTAAATCTGGGAAAAGGGAAAGTAGGCAAACAGGCTAGCAACCCCACCTGGTAGAAAGAAACATCACATCTACTGCAACTTGAAGCCTGAAGTTTTATGTTCCATTTAGAACTCAGAATAATGAAATGATATTTGTATTCATTATTTTTATATGTAATACAAAGTACCGTATTTCAGACAAATTCTGTGCTCTGGATTTTATGCGTAATCCAAGCGTCTGGTTTATTTGATCTAAAGCTCAGCTGTTAATTATCGTTCCAGATTTTATTAAAGTAATTAATAGGGCTGTAAATTTTAATAATAATAATAATCTACTTTATTCTAAAAACAGTACTTATAATACAGAATGGAATTCTCAGCATTTGTCACAATATTGCATCTGATTTACTTAAAATATAAATAAAATTAAAAATTAAAACAAAAGTAACCAGAGGAATTTGTCCACGTTTGCGATATAAAGTCAAAAATATTCGAAGCACGAATTGAGATCACTAAATATAATAATGATAAAAATAATAACAGTGAGTTTGTTTCAAACAGTATTGGCCATTCAGTTTGGAAATTTTAGCATGTTATTATAAAGTATTGTTGATATAGCATAGTGAGGAAAAATACAAAATTAACAGTAGTAACACAGCTTAAACGATGTTCACACTTATGAAAAATAAATAAATAAAACAAAAAATTGAGAGGATTGTAAATATAAGAAATAAAATAACAATAAAGTTTGGTAGTGTAAGGGTGGAGTAAATGGTTTATTTATTAGTGCAAAGAAGGTTAGTTAGTTCATGTCTGACACCATTTTCATCACATAAAGTACGTATCAAATATGGTATAGTGGAATTTTTATACTTAGACGTACGTGCATAAATTCTTCTGAAAAGACTTCTTGTTTGCCTGTGGAGACACAAGGTTGGAGCTGCGGGTAAAGTGGGTGCTCAGAGTCTGACAAAATTCCTTTAGCAAATTTGCTACATGACACCAAGTGCCTATCAGTGACAATGTCAAGGATGTGGCCCAATGGAATACCACTCGTCCTACTGACAGTCTTCAGAGTTCTACGAAGTGTGACACATTCTTTTTTAAGCAATCCAGGAAAGAACCAGGGTGAATAGTAAAGAAGAATAGGTCAAATACACTAGTTGACAAACTGTAAGAGGAGTGGTTGGGTTATGCTTGAGTGCCTCAACTTCTTAATGTAAAAAGTCAGATGAAATATTCTTTTAGAAATCGCTAAGAGATGGGAAGACCAGGACAGGTCAGAAGAAAGAATTAATCCAAGATACTTAACTTCAGACTTGATTTGTATATCAGTATCATCAATTTTGCAAGGGTCATAGAAACCAATGGCTTCATTTAACTTTCGTTTACATCGGAAACTGAGATTGACAGTCTGACATTTGGAAGGATTTAGTTTAAGGCCGTTAGACGAATACCATTGCTAACTCCTGATAGAAAGCTGTTCATTTTAGTACAGTCAAGCTAGGAGTTAACAGACGTTGAAATAGTTAGATCATCGGCATACTTAACAAAGTTCATTTCATCAGAGTGAGTACTGTAGCACTTTGCTTTCATGACAAACTAAATTTATAGTTCAGATTAATAGTAACAGTAATCTATTTACGCAATATCAGACTGTTGATTGTTTGATACAGTAGACCTCAGACTTTTATTGCATTTCTCTACAAAAACTGGTAATGGTATTCTTTATCTCTTTCTACCCACTAGAGTCACCAGATCCACAAACAAATCTGGAGAAATGTAGACAAGATCCAGAGTGCAGTAAACAATACGTTGAATGTGCCTATGCCAAATTAAACGAATGCAATGATGAGATGAGTAAAGAAGTTAAGAAACAATTAAAATCTTTCGGTTCAACAAATTAATTAATTCGTGTACATTAACGTTTAAAAAAACAGAAACAATCTCTAATACTAACCGACAAGACAGTAGAATTTAGTAGTGTTTTAAATATTATATTAAAGAAGACTTATTTATTCCTATCTTTATGATAAATTCACTGTAGAATAAATAATAGTATTAGTTTAAAGCCCTTAAAAAGAATGCTTTAATTACCCTTTTCGTCTACAATGTACAATTAAACCAAATACATCAGTGAAGTGATAGTTCGTTAAAAAAAAATATAATCTCTGGATCCGTTACATAACCTCAAGTATAACCAATGCTCACAAGTCATTTATAGTGAAATCGATCCTCCATCTGCAGTAGCTGATACTTTCTCAAAATGTAAGCTTAGAGAACATAAGAAACATTACAAGTAACTACTGTCCCATGTATAAAACGTTATCATCATGATGAAGCAAATAGTGTACCAATACACTTTCTAGTCTGACTGAGATTCAGCACAGGGCTTTGCATTGAAGTGTAGCACTTCAAGTTGCCACATCCCATGTAGCCCAAAATGTAGGAAAGAAAGAAATTCAAAAGAACTATAATGAGCTGTAATGTACCGGAGAAAGAATAGTAACAGAGTAAAGCATGAGGACCTAACACATCTCGAAGATTAGAAAAAGTGAATGCATCTGATCCACTGAGAACGATTTTTAACCATGTCAGTGACAACCTCCGTGCATTCGTTTTTATCATCTCAAGGACGCAAACCAAGAGGCCGACACTTCTCCACGTGGTTCGACCACCCTAACTAGTTTCAAAGCTAATCTTATTTCAGCTAATATTGCTCGACGAAGGCGATAGTTTGTCATGCGTTACATGTGCCCTAGCTAACTCAATCGATGTAGCCTCACAACCTCATCGACGAACTAGACCTCCTTGTCTGAGAGATAGAACACAGCATCTGCCTCATAACCAAAAAGAAGGACGGCGGGAACTGCTTTGCAGTACGCACATCCATTGATCAATAATCAGATGTCACTACACTAGAGATGACGTGTTTTGGTAAATGACACACGTGACTTTTATATAGGAGCTGGGATTTCGTTAGCAATCAGTCAGTTAGACATGATGCAACTTTCTTGTGCTACTGAAGATGAGTATCGGAAGTGATTTTCAGTGTGCACGCAAACATATAAAGATGTGAGGGCTCAGGTTGTTGTGATTTTTGTTAACGAAGAAAGTCTACAGAACTAAGCAAATGATCAAAATCTTGAGGATAATTTTATATTAACTGAAATCTGCAGTCACTGATTTTCCCTTGAGGAGCACACTTCTTTACGTAGCTCTGAGAAGCATTCAAAACTTCATATATTAGTATCATTTCGCTTGGGCTGACACTGTATCAGTAGAAAACTGTTTGACACGACTGAAATCCCCACTCACTGTTAGCAGGCGTACGTCCACACACCCTACTGACACATTTACCAGTAGAATTGTATACATCTGCATTTCTAGCTACCCAGGGGCTCAACTAAACACGAGTTATTTTAAGGGTAATATTTATAACGGAGCAGATAACTTTCTTATAGCAAATTTTTTCCATGCAAATACAATAGTTCATAAGGAAGCGTTACACCCACAATGATGAGTAAATTTAGGGGTATATACTTTATATTGCATTAGTGGCCACCTAGTCCTCTTAAATGTCATTAGGCAACACAATCGGGTTGCCAATACTGCCGTCTATTTCCCAATGTATAGACTAATATCTGTTAGTCAAATGTGTGTACTAACTACGACGAAACTACTGAACACTGTGACACACTTTCATTTCTGATATCATAGGTCAGCTGGCAAGAACTCAATCACGCCAAACATATGTATCTTGAGAGACACACTTATTGTGTGATGGTTGATGACGCGCCCAGTTACGCAGATTGCACTGGGTTCTCAAGCTAATCTAGTGATAATGCTCATGACTTAGGAAATCACTGACAGTGTTCCAATCTCAGAGAGGGTGTGAATTTCCTCAAAGTAACACAAACGCCCTGAGGAATGTTAACAATCACAAAACCCACTCTTAGAGATTTCCGTAGTTTAAATAATACCACCTAAAGCCATGAGATCAAAGTGAATAGATAAAAGAACTAATTCAGTTAACCTTAATCAGAAGAGAAATTTGCTCGGTGAGCTGAAATGAAATGGCCCATCTACAGAGGCCTAGAATTTGTTTGTATTTCCTACAGAACAACATTTAAGTAGTGAATGTCCTCGAAGGTTTATCGATAGAAGCGTAAGGAAACAAATCGTAGTATCAAAGAATTTGTGTTTCAAAGCATATATAATGACGGCAGTATTAAAAAGACGTCTATATGAGTACATCAAAATCACTTCCTACGATGGTAACTTAAGCATAATGCATTGAAACAAAATATGCTGCGGCAATGTGTGAGGGATAAAATACCCCTTACATTTTCATCTATTATTTACAATGCTCCCATAGATCTAGTTACGTTTGAGGTTGTGAGTTCTACAGAAACGTGTAATTGGACATTATGGTCAATGCAAGATTAGTGCGGGACAACAGAATAATCCATTTGAGAACAGTTTTCGGAACCAGGTCATTCAATCTTCGATGATTTATGCTCTAGTGTTACCTACAGCACTTCACTTTACTTAAAACACTCACATAACCACATAGACACACACACACCAATCTTTCGACTGATTGAAACGGTCTTGCTTAGATAGTAAGTCGGACATAGGTTCCTGCCAGAATTCGGGCGGTGCGAAGCACACATCGTACTTGCAGGGATAGGGTTAAAATCAATCTTTTCAAAAGTCTACGTATGCATATTAAGAAACACATAACCTGCTTTATTACTCTACATCAGTTAAATTGAACAAAATACATTATTCTTAACACGAATTTGCAATATTTTATTAAGTCTCAATGTAACAGAAATAAATGCAGCAGGAGTCAAGATAAGCAAGTTATTAAGAGTAATATTACAAAATCAACAATACGCCTTCAAATTTACAATCACAATAAGATGTATTTTGAAAGGGAAATATATATATATATATATATATATATATATCAAATAATCATGATTTCAAGTTATATTTTCGAACAAGTACATCTTATCATTTTACTTGATTAGCCTGTAACAACCTCAAGTTCAGTTCCATCGGATAATCTTCGCAAATCTGCTTCACAACGAACAATTGTGTTAGGCAATTTACGAACTTTTTTAATTTCTTCAGGCCTGATATTTAATTCCTTAGAAATTATTTGAAGAAAATAAGGATAATCGCATGTTTTGGTAGGAGCTTCAAATTCATAGAAATCTTCTTCCTCCGACTGTGCTAATCTAACCTTAATATTGAAAGAAATGAAAACAAAATTAGAATATTTATCAACCTGCATACATTTACGTGGATATACACTGAGAAAATATTTGTAGAGCATTATGTTGCAGGTGAAAACCAGTGACAAAGACAGATTTTGGTGGACTGTGTTGGCGACGCAATGATAAAATGCCCATTAGCCATGAGGGAGGTCCGGATTCGATCCCCGAGTGACGTACTTTTAACCTCTACTAGCCGGTGGTAAGCGCGTAAAAGATTAAAGGTTGGGCATAAGACTAGCAACTCCAACCATTAAATAACAGCAGTGATGCTACTAAAACTTCAAAGCTTCAGGCTTAACGCTCTGTGTTCTGATTAGAAAACAAGGAATGAAAGAAACGCATTTAAACGGCTGGTAGTACTGTTGAAAGCCTGATGTCTGGGAAAGCTTTGTTCAACAAGCAACAAACTTAGTTAGAGCATTATCTAGCTGGGGAAAATTTATTATAGCAACAAACAAGAATTTAACAGTGGGTTTCTGAAACAAGAACTTGTGAAAATTATCTAGACAGAGATTGAGCCATAAATGGCACACATTCTAAGAAGCTGAGTTTGTACGAAGCTTTCCTCCATCATAATTAGTATCTGTCCAGTGACATTAAAAATGTCGCCTGCCAGCTTATTCTTTCTCAGAAATCAACAAATTTCAGACTAGCTGTTGCAAAACGCTTCCCCTTCATAAACGCTTCACAAGAATTACCAGTGTTTAATCATTTCTATCAACAAGACCATTCATGATTTTAATGCCTCTTTAGTCTGAATAATGATTTGTTGTATTCATGTAGGAAGTTTCAGGTGAATAGAGTATTTAGGTGACAAACACTAATAGATTTGAGTTCTTTAAGTTCTGATTTTCTCATATCTGTTGCTCACTTTAAAGGAAAACTCATCAGTTACTTCCCAACTTGCGCTACCTTGAGCGTAAGTCAAAAATTCGGCTGCCCGTCAGAGAGCATGTGTACTGCACTCTGTCCTACTTTACACACATGCAAATATATGGGAAGACTACAGTTGCTGCTGTTTCATAGATCACATCAAGCAGAGCAAAAGGCAAAGGTTAAGAGGTAAGTCGGCGGACAAATTTATGTTTGAATTCCGCTCCACCTACTAACATGTGAGCAGCTAGTCCTAGCCCTCGCACAAAAGGTATGGCTTATTAGTAACTACATGCAAGTGCGATTTGTTGAAGATAGCTCAAAACGTACATTTGAAATACAACTTAGCCACGTATGAAACAGTGAGATGAACTGAAACAAAACCTAAAACCTTATGAAGTTTCTTATATAATACTGTTTAAAATGGAGAATATCCTTATAATGCTTATTTTAGGAGTTTTATATAATGTAACACCCTCAATGGAAGAAAACAAATTCCATTTCAGTAATCTAGTCGTTTTTTTATGTGTAACTAGGAAACTTAAATGCAACTCTCCATCCTTCCTTATTTACAATTAACGGAACAAAAAACGTGAAAATTTTTGTTACATATCCCTCAACCTTAAAATCATGAAACTCTATATTCGCTAACTTCCTCTATCAAAGTTACATCTAAAGCGGAAGGAGAATACAATTTTACTAATTCTTCAGAATGAGACTAAACTACTGGGTATTACGTCACACAGAATCAGCTTAGACCTGTGCTCTTAGGCCAGACAAGATTTTATCAGACTACCTAGTATCCGCACAGCATTGGATATGATAACCTCCGACGATAGAGACCCAAGTTGCACATCTCAGCAGTAAGCGACATGAAAAAATACTCACTTTTATAATAGTTTCAGTGGGAAAATCAGCTTTCACAGGTTGATAACTTTCACTGGTCTTGATGTAGGGGAATGAGGGGTATTTTAAATAATTTGGAACGAATGTACTCTGTAATGTTTCATCTTTAAAAACTTTAATAAACATTAAGAAACTGCTTACGCATTTCATGAGGCTTTTTTCCGTCATTTCTTTTAACATCCGGATCAGCACCTTTGAATAACAAATAGTCAATAATAGACTGATGTTTTCTCGTGTATGCCCAATGAAGTGGTGTCATACCATTAACCTTATTCTGGTGATTGATATTGGCCTTTGAAAAATTAATTTTAGTTATCAGAAAACGAATTACCCTACACCAAGATTTACTAGATTTACAACTTCTTCAAGAACTCCAACGCTGCAAGCTTCGTTCAATTTCTCGCCTAACTCAGACGGGTTTGTCATCATGAAAAATAACTAGGAAAATGCAGTTCTGAAAACAAAGATAAAAAAAATTAACCAAAAAATAAAATTTTAATGGCAATTAACTTGGTCAATTAGTTGTTAGAAACACCCTTATACAAGTCACTGCATCAGAATGTCGTCTTTATGCAGACATTTGAAACCAATTTTTAATATTATTGGTGGCGTGAGACATACAAATAAGACTTACACTTTTACCTCAGGAAATGGACCCAATTTATTACACTAAACAAAATAAAACAAAAGAACCTATGAAACTGCGGTGATGAGAATGTGAAACAAATGTAGAATACTAGTTTGTTCCCAAAAAAAATCTCAAGGTATTACAGAACGTGCTAAGTCTGCAGGCAAAAACACGATACATCCACCGATGCCAGTGTATACTTGCTACCTCAGTGGATTGATTTGCTTGTTTACAACCATAAGTATATTTCAATAAAAATAACCCAGCTAGCATTTTTTTCGGGCGCATTGAAGACTTTTTTGGGCAAAAACTTCGGGTAGATCTACTTACGTGGGACAGTGTCCGAAGTCTGCCCCCAAATGTCTGCAATGCGCCCGAAAAAAAAGCTAGCTGGGAAAATGAGGGTTCACTATTGCGTCCTATCCACTTGGAATCAACAATATTCATGTACAGACGTATTAACAACACTTTGTCTGAGTTTTTATGACATATGCTGTAACATTTACAGCTACAAGCAGGTTCCTAAATAGGAATAACGGACGTGATGTTATTAATCAAACAACCAGATAAGCCCAAGCGAAATACGTGTAATAGTAATTGCACTCCAATAAATTCATCACAGCACTAACCAAAGGTGGATTTTAGTTTATTTCCATCAGGTAAACACACGTCAACTGAACTGTTCACATACACACATCGCAACGTAGCGGCACAGTTGAAATCCGAACTCACACAATTCAATACCCACTATCCGTCTTGCGATTCACATTGAGATTCAGATGACAAGGATAGAAGGCTCTTCTGACCTATGTTAATCCTTGCCAAATATATCTCTTCAGAGATCCAGTTTCTCTTTGAAAGCGTTCACCGATGGAGATAATACTACCCAGCTAGCATTTTTTCGGGCGAGTTGCAAACTTTTGGGGGCAGACTTTGGGCGCATTGCAGATATTTTGGGGTAGAATTCGGGCAAATTGCAAACCTTTTGGGGCAGACTTCGGGACACTGTCCCACGTAAGTAGATCTACCCGAAGTTTTTGCCCCAAAAAGTCTGCAATGCGCCCGAAAAACTGCTAGCTGGGTACTGAATCAGGTAAGGAGCTCCACTCGTTGACCACTCTGTGAGAGAATTAAAACTCTGCACGTATTTTAATCGTCCTCATTTTGAGCATCTTTTTGCGGTGACCCCGTAAATGTATCCTAGAAGGGGAGAAAAGGTTTGAAAGCTCAGTTCCTAAATCACCCTTAAGTATACGGTATGCTAAAATAAAGTCGCCTCTCTTCCTTCGGTATGATAACGGGAAGAGATTTAAGTACTCTATCCTCTTATCATAAGGAAGGTGTGAGATACCACTAACAAATTTTGTTCCTTCTCTCTGTACTCTTTCCAGGATATGTGACTCCTTTTTAAAGCATGGACTCGCCGCTTGTATGCAGTATTCTAGATGAGGCCTGACATATGTTGCGTGGAGTATTTGGAACATGCCCTCGTCTAATCGTCTGAAGGCCCTTCGAAGTGCCCATAGCACTCGAAAAGCCTTAGCCATGGCTGCATTGCAATTTTCAGTTGTTTTCAAATCATTGCTGACAATGATTTCTAGGTCCTTCTGTTCGTCAACATCAGGTAGTTATGTGTCCCCTAGGGGGTACAACGTATAAGACTTCTGATCTAGGTGATTTACCGCGCTTCTCTTGTAATTGGTTTCCAAACTCCAAAGGCTCGACCACTCAACTAATTTATCTAAATCAGTTTGTAGGGCCAACCTGTTCTCATTATTATTTACAGTTTTCCTTATCTTAATGTCGTCTGCAAATAATAATGAAGATGAAGTAAGAATTCCCGGTAATTCGTTAATGTATAATGGGAATAGCAAGATGCCTAATACATTTCCCTGGGGCACTCCACTGGATACTGCTTTCCACCCTGATAGTACACCGTTAACTCTAACCTTCTGCCTTCTATCCCCTAGGTAATCTCTAACCACTCACATAGGCATTGGTCTGGTCTGAAACCTTTAAGCTTACTAAGGAGACCTAATTGGGATACTTTGTCGAATGCGTTGCTAAGATCAACAAAACCACGCCCAACAGAAGGTTTTTATCTTTGGCCTCAACCTGGTCTTCCCTAGACAATAGTAGGTTTGTCAGGCGGGATCATCCTGGTCGGAATCCATGCCGTTCCACAGCCAACAAGCCATGTGTTTCAACATAAGCTAATAGCTGATCCCTTACAATAGTTTCCAATACCTTTTCTAAAATGCGAGTCAGACACGCCGGCCTATATTTAGATGCCAATCGCCTGTCCCCATCTTTGAAGATAGGGTTTATAATGACATCCTTTCAGTCCCTGGGTAACTTAGCCTTGGTCAGAGACATTTGGAAAATCTCCGTAAGCGGAATATATTATCTCCGTAAATCATTCTCCAAAATTATTGACCACAGCAATGATCACGGAACACTGGATGCTGACCCTTAGTGTTTAAGTCGATTTGTTTAACTGAAGGTATCCGGTCAAGCATCCTCGCCATTTGGTACTCTGTCGTGTCATTTTGGTGCACGATCACTAGCCAGCTTAGCTTCCACCTCAGTCCACGATTTGGCTCCGGAATATATTCCGTAATATGGACGATCAATCGTGTCTATTGCTTTGCCAGAAACGAATACTATGGAAGTTGTTGGGATAAGATCCTGCTTTAGTATATTCCGTACAAATCGCGAAGGTCAATACTGTCAGACTCTAAAATATATTATATCTGCAAGGAAATTAACAGTTTAAAGTAAAGTCCATCAGGCCCAAGTGATTTACCTGGCTTCAGTTTAGACATTGGTTTGAGGATCTCTGTGTGCTATACCACAGTTGGGGGCATCTGAGTGGCGATGTCAGTGACCTCGCCATATTCCTGGGTGTAACTATCAGACGGGAAGACGTTACATAAGTATTCAGAGAGGTTTTCAGCATTACCTTTGTCTGAATCAGCCGCTTCTCCACGAATGCATATGAGTGACGGTATACCACTTCTGGTTTTCGTCCTACGTTTAACATACGAGTATAGCCTTTTTGGTAGATAAAAGCAGTCTAGTACTAGCCATGTCAATGCAGTTGAAGGTTGAACGACCAATTCATGGTTGTTTGCTCAAACCCAACTCCCCCATATTTTTCGCGGGAGTCATCGATAGTGCAGTCATCGTCTCATCAGTCGCTGTTCAGAAAAAAGCTAGAAAAAATTGTCAGGAGTAATATCGCGATTTATTGTTGTAATATTTGTTCTTAGACCTTAGTCTGTAATGCTAACAATGCTGGTTATATGTTGGTGTTAGAATAAAGAATTCTTGAGTCGCCAATCCGTGTTCTGGTTTTTGCGTCCGTTAGTACTAAGCGTTTCTGAAAGGCCTCGAGGGACAGCGTGAAGCCCAGCGTAGCAAGAGCTGGGCATTAACAGTTTATGAGACTTGATTGACAAGCCGTCTCTGCTGCTCTATACGACTCTTGTTAATCTCGTGCCTGAAAGGATTTAGAATTTTTCGGTAGTCTTTCTGGAAACTTTCCCTGCCTCTCATAATAAATTGGTACCATAAGCTCTTTCGCCAACTTAATAGCCTCCTTAATTCACTATTGATCCAAGGTCGCTTATACGATAGCTTTCGAGGAGTGTGCCAAGGTATAAAAGTTGAAGTGACACAATCCAGTGTATTCCCAAGTCCCACCCAAGCCTCCTCGACGATCCGACTTGTATCAACTGACAAGTGAGCCGCAGTTGCTGCGTTCCGGATTCCTTGTACGTCCGCTTTCCAAATGTTTGGACGAGTAGATCTTGACCTGTGTATGAGAGAATGAATCCTAAACGTAAAAGCAATGCCTATGTGGTCACTGCTGCCAAGCGGCGGAAGGCACCTAATGTTACCAACGTCCTCCCTCTGGTGTGTTTTAACCAAGTCTAGGGTAGTTGGACCATGTTCCGGGTGATACCATGTTGGTGCTTGCATATGTTGCACGAGTGCACATTCAAGCATCGTCAAGGTGAGCTCCCTATTGAAACACGTATACGAACAAGTACAGTTTAATTCCCCCCTAATTAATATTGGAGCATTAAAGTCGCCAACAACCAGACACCTATTTCTACTACCCCTCGCCCTCAAGCGATTTAGTACGAAGTCATCAGCTTGCCTCGCAGGACTTCTGTAAATTACTCCGATAGTTAAAGTGCCTTTGTTCAAGTTAGTAACGCGAATTGTGGCTTCACCATTATGAGCTTCTGACAACGTTGACCTGATCCCTATGTCATCCCGGATGTATAGAGCAAACCCCCACCTTTCCGACTACTTACTCTGTCCGATCGAATGCAGATGTACCCAGGTATGAGTAGAGTTAAGTCTACACCCACTAACAACCGCGTCTCAGTGATAGCAATCACATCAGGTTGTAGTCTTTCAGATAATTTTCCTAATTCGGCGAGCTTATTCCTAAGACTACATGCGTTCGTATTGCACACCGAGACACCTATGCGTTCACCCGGCTTATGAAGAGAAGTCTCAGCGGCATCGGTTTCCGAGACCTCACCACCTGAAAACCCAATATCTTCAGGTCTTTTTCGCCTTTCTCTAACCTGGCCTTTAGTTCAGCCACGTCTTCCCTTCTTTTGATTCTATCTTCTAAAGGCCAGTCAGGTCATATTTTGATTTTGAACGCGTTACTAAGGACGGTGCTCCCCCCTGTTTCGTTCCCTAAAACTACTTTAAGTAGTCGAGAAGTTTCCGTTGCATCAGGTTATCGTTTTTCGATCCTGATAGCCAACCAAGTGGAGTCGGTTTCTTGCACTCTGTTTTCGCCGCTACTGGAAGCCATTCGTGCACCAGACACGCTGCGCTTTGGCGTAGCCATTTCATAGGCTGGTGTTGCCATACTGGCACTACTTGCCGTTTTGGGTTTCCTTTGCTTTCTGCGCTTTGCAGCAACAGATATTTGGGTACTCTGTGTGTCTTTTGCCACTGGAGCTTCAGGAGGTGATACACCCTAAGTTTTAAAACCAAGTCGTGAACCGCTATTCTTGACTAAGGTTTCTGTTGCAAGCTTTTCGATTATGTTTTTCGACAGTTTTTGGACATCAGGAGTCCTACTGCCTCTTGGATGAGGACATCCGACGGGTTACTGCAAAATTTGCACAGTCTCGGAACATCTCTTATAGACTACTGGTGGTAAACCAGTGCAAACTTTGTGGAAGCATAGGCTGCAGTTGTCACACTGCATCCTATAAAGGATTGAAGGCATTATTAACATCACGTATTGCTACCATTATTATTTTATCAACTCCCAACAGTGATTTCTCAGTCACCCTGTGTCCCATTTAATTTTTTAAGGCTCGTTTATTGGTTGTAAGATTAAGGTTCTTGAGCAAAACTGAACTTTAAGCACCAAAAGAGCTCGGTGTGCTGATGGCTCTGAAAGCCCAATTGACTTCGGAAGAAGAGACTTTGTCGTAAAAAGTACATACATTCATGAAAATAAGAAATAAAATGGCTTAAAATTCTCACGCTGGAAACCATTGTCTAGAGTGTGACAAAATGTTCAGCAGTTTTCCACTGGAATGTCAACAGAATAACTGAACCATATACTGCGCATGCATTCAAATAAGTCTTCTAATCATAGACCTGACTTCAATCTGCCATAACTCAAAACTAAGCCTAAACGTTTTCAAATCTAACTCGAACCAACTGTGATATTTTTCGTCTTAGGCTAACTTTTGGAATGAATATAATATACCTAATGACTCGTAATGATATTAAACGGAATGTCCAGTAAGTTTTAATTTAAGTTTGTGAAGGATTTATTTAATTTTTATGGCAAGGACAGGTTAGCCTCAGGTGAACATAATAAGAAGGATATCACAGTTGGTTCAAGGTAGATTGAAGCAAGTTTATGCATAGTTTCGAGTATTGGCTATTGAACTGTGTGTGTTCGCATTTCAACTGCGCCGTTACGTTTCGATGTGTATGTGAACAATTCAGTTGACATAAGTGTGTTTATTAGATGGAAATAAACTAAAACCCACCTTTGGTTAGTGCTGTGATAAATTTATTGGAGTGCAATCACTATTACACGTATTTCGTTTGGGCTCATCTGGTTGTTTGAGTAATATCATTACGTCCGTTTGCTCGGGTTTATCGTTTGAGTCATTCTATTTTTCTATTACCTAGAGTTCTTTTCTCTCCTCATGCTGTCATTTTCAACGTTATGTTCTCAACTCTCTGCATTTCGTGATCATTTTCGAGTGCTATCTCCGTAAAGCATATGAGAATAGTCTCTCTTGTAGTATGAAATAGAAGCGGTTCCCCTGGTCGAATTTCACTTTCTATTGTTATTATCACTGGTTTTGCTGCTGGTCCGAATCTCACTATCTTTTTATGAGGTTGTCCAAACGTTTGAAGCACAAAGCTACGTATGAAGAATGTCATTTTTATCTTTGGCTTACCAATACTACGGAGTTATCTTGAGCAACAAAGTTTCAGTCAGATCAAGCACATGGTTCAAAGTTTTATGCACAAAAAATATGCTGTATCTTACTGACTAAATAAGATGACAATAGTTGCTTAAAGTAAAAGTAGTGAACTTATTTTTCAGTTAAATTACTGGATCATTGTACGTGTGTGGTATTATACTTAAAATACAACATATTCCAATTAACAGAGATGTTTCAAAAAGATTATTCAGTGCAGAAACAAGATTCTCAGTGTGTAATACCATAACTGGATTGCACTTCTTGCTGAATTAAACTTCATTAACTATAATAACCAGGCAGTAGAGAATTGCAAGTTTCGGTGGAAAGTGACAGCTAAGGACTCCAAGTCCATTGATGAGAATATAAAGTCGCACTTGTTAAAATGGTATGCTAAGCTCTCCTCTTCTCAGAATAGACTGATATTTTATTTTCGACAAAACGGTGAGTAATCATAAATCTTTCTACGCGTGGAATCTTTGTTGGTTTAATTCAATCTTAGTGTTACTTGTGTTTTGTTAATTTGAGTGGACTGGTGGTGGTTTTCTTTGGGATCCAGGTGTAAATATTTTAATGCGTTATTTTTAGTAACATTTTATACTTGTGGGGTTTATCTATGTTATCGATGTACAGAGATTTTGTCTCATTAAATTATAAGAGGATAATTAGGGGCTTACTCCTTGAGAATGATGATACTATTACCGCTGTTATCAAAACGACGTAATCCGAAACTTGATATTGTCAGTCCTGTAATGTTACAGGAGTAAAAGCTTCGCTGCTGCATTCCATTAGCATGTTGATGCAGCAGGTTAATAAGTACCAGGGAAACCTATTGTGTTGGGGTTGAAATTTAATCAGATGGTAGTCCGTCTAATTTTAGAGGAAACGTGTTGTATTCGTTGATATCATGCACTGATTTGACACGTCGTTTAACGTCATAAATTGTCGTAGTGCTTCTGAATTGACGGAGCTGAATACCTTATTTACGTTAAGATCAGAAAAGATAAAACTATTGGGGAGTAAGTATATCTTAGTTATAAACCTTATTGAATACTGTAAGTTTCATCAGTACACTTTTACACAAGTCTGTTATTTACTAGAGCTCCTTTCAGTCATTGATTTTTAGGTGGGCATCAAAATAATATGAACTATGTTACATGATGGAAGTTGAGCAGTACTGGAACCCAGCGTGCGCACTGTTGCTACTTGAGACAGTAGATGGGTCTACATGCATGCCAACGGGTATGTTCGGGTTACGTAACTACACTAGGGGACTGATATAACCTCTAGACTGCTGATTCGGAATCAGAATTACACATTGGTCTCTGGCATCCGAAAGGACGAGTAATATGAGTCTCTTATGGTCACCAGCAACTAAGGGAACACAACTTTTTGCCGCTCTGCTGGCTTGTGAGTCAGACCAAGAACAACCGTCTCCACTGGTCTGGGAGTCCCACAACGTCTAACGTGAAATATCGGACAATTAGATGAAAAGCTTACTCCAACAATGAGACTTAAGACCAGTACTCATATTTTCAAGCATAGTAGCGTCTTCCACCAAGCTACTGGTCCGGAGAAGCTATCTTTTTTACAATCTTTATCAGCTGATATCTGTTGATACTTGCATTTCCTGTTTTGTGGTTCTGCTGGACTGGTATATCAGCTTGTTGTACATGAGGTGTATCTAATGACTCAGTAGCTTAGTGTGTGCTATTTTTGATTGAGTGGAAAAGTCACTCGCTGGGAGTCAGTTACACCAACTGAATATTCTTTAAAAGGACTAAATGGGCTTTGTAGATTCTATTGTATTACACTGACATCACCTATTTCCTTTATCAGTGTTACGATTTCTAACTAAATAGGTAACTGAATATTCCAAAAAATAGTGACGATTTACCAGTCATGCGCATCGACTCTTTATAACTCTTGTGACCTCTGTAACTATTGTTTTACTTTGGTGCAGCTGACTGATAATTTTGAACTGGATTAATACATGTTTGCATGTAAATTATACTGATTTGTGTCACTGAGTAACAACCCTCTCACAAAACTGCATTACATGTATAGGCTCGCATCAAATGAATATCAGAAAACAATTATTGACTATACATATATCGTTTGCCTCTTCTTTCGGTTAATGAATTGTTAATTGTTTACAAAAAATGTAACCTAGATAATTTGGATGTAAGCCACTTTACGGGCAACAAATCGTCAGTCGGAGATGTCCCTCTTTAGTCTTTTATCTCATCTCATATCCATTTTCTTGAGCAATAGTCGCGAGCATAGACCGGTCTACTTTTGGTAAAATACTCCTCAGTATTCACAAATTGAACTGGTGGTGACAGTGACATTGTATAGTTGTAAGTATGTAACAAAATGTAAGATAATTAGACAGTTAATGTATTCCAACTAGTAGACGTGAAGGTGAATTTCCCATCCCATATGACATTGGATGATAAAACAACAAAATGGATGTCAGAATCGTTTCTTGAACACATTTTTATCTACTTTTTTGTGAAATAAGACTTTGGGTATGACTTCAGTCAATAGGCTGTTTTTCGTCCCTTTTTCCCTTTCTCCTGATATAACTTTTCTCACAAAATATTCTTTTTTCTTTTCTTCTCGAACAAACTAAGAATTCTCTGTTGTCTGAGACACAAGAGACTGAAGTGCAATCTTCTAGACGAGAACACACACATACATAATTCATAAACGAAATCCAGATTCTCAGCCTGTTTATTCTTTTTGAAATTGAAGTGTAAAAGTAATTCACCGAATGATGAGTTCTGTAATTTTATCTTGTAATAATTAAATGTGGTAACTAATCATTGGATAATTTATCATTATTCAAATGTTTTTATATTGTGAAACGTTGTAAGATGCATTTCTTAGCATCTGTTTTTTGAGTTTGCACTTGAACAAATAACTCGTAATACAATTAAAATGGTGACAGCAGGTCATAGTGTAATCTTCTTGAGTTTGTTCTATGATGGTGACTGAAGGACTTTGTAAAACGTTGACAGTATCTAGGTCGAAAAATAGTGCTGTTTGGAGAAACAAGTCATAACTCACACAAAGCCATCGTCTATAATTCTCTATCATGTCACTACAATTTTAGAAGAAAATCAGGCTTTGCTTACTCAGTTGTACCAGGACATTTTCACATCACTAGTGTTTTGTGAGCAAGTATGAAGCCTTTCAAAACTCGATTTATCTACAGTTTAAAAAAAACCGTGAACACTGCCCAGTTACAATGTCTTTAAAATCTTTTTTTCCATGTAGATATGGAGATGTTATGTGTGGTTTTGCACAGAAATCAATAAATGCATTGAATACTATCAATGTTTTGCAATTGTCAGTCGTTTTACACAAGCCTTTAATCTTGTTATTTAGATCAATATGGAGTGTATAAATTCAAACAACACGAAAATTTGTAATGATCAATCAGTAAATCCCTCTAAAACTTCAGAATATAAGAGCAAGGTATCTAAACAAAGAAAGGCGTGCAAAAATACCAAACATTCTTGCAAACACGAACATGACAAGTGTTCGAAGAATTCCTGTAATCCTGATGTCTTACGAAATCTTTCAACTGTAATTCAGAATTGGAAACTAGGTGATAAAGCCCCATCATACAAATCAACATCAACAGTTGAAAAGGTTCTTAAAAATATTGAGAAACGTATCATTTACGGAAGTGTTGAAAAAATTCCTCTTGATTGTCAAGCTGCTGGTGGTGGATTAGCTTATCCCAAAGAGTCAAAGTTCATCTTCCATTATCAGATCCGCAAACTCGATGATGATCATACTGTTATTGATGATACTCGTAAATATGGAAAAACAATGGAGATGTATTCTGGGAAAGAGTTCCAGTTGGAGGTTAGAAATGTGTAATTCCTCTATTGTTACTTTCATTCTTTGTTTCCTTACGTAGTGGTTATCATTTTATCAAAACAAACGTCCGCTTACGCACAATTTTGTTATCATATGATGACATTATAAGCTGGCATTAAAGCCATTTCTGCCGGTTTATATCCTATTATCATATAATACATAAATTCAACCGTGTAAACTGTAAAATAAATGCCTGTTAATAAAATAACACACCTATATTAGTAGCCACTCCTTCACTTATTCTAATTTGAACTGGATAAGTGTTGTTATTCACTGGTGGTTATTTTATGCTTTCGTAAGAATTCATTGGGTATCTTCGAAATTCGGTTCAGTCCTTATGATGCTAGGCCGAATGTCTTCAGTCAGAGTCCTCTCTGTAACTCAGTTTCATCACACCTACACAGTAATCTCCGTTTATATCAATTATATGTTTGTAAATGATCACCGTATTTCAGTTTTATATACAAGCTTAAGCTTACGGATACACGACTCGTTTTATTGTGTAAATAAAATACAGTTTTTTAATTACTCCAGAGAAAATGAAATATACTTTAGAAACCGCAATTCTACACAAGACAATGAGCTACTCCTACTTCTATTTTGTGTAGGTTAGCGCTACCATTTGGACTCATTAGGTAAGGTAGTGTTGAAACCTAGGCATTTCCGGTCAGATATTTAGTGTCTATATCAGTGAGTTGAACCTTCATTTCTTCAGAAGTGTTCACAGTCTTATTCCATGGAATAATTAATTTGCTTATGGATGATCGCCGTAGTCTTCTGTGTAATTTGTAAATTCAGTCGAACATTAGAGATGGTTAGTTATTTCAGAGGAAGTTATGAATCGAGAGATTGTGCTCGCCTCCGATATTTTTGTTTCCATTTCAGGGGATATTGCTTGTGCACTACTACAAGAGGAATATCGAAAGTTCTGCTTTTCCTCAGTGTTGATAAGACGGTGTGATACTTACTTTTATCCTTAATAAAATATAATCTTTCGATATGTGTAAGGGCAGCAGTTTGCTCGGTCCTACTGTGAGACATGATCATCGAAGTTGGAAGGTGTGGAAGGATGAGTAGTCTTCAATCATAGATTTCTGCAATTAGTAGTGTTCTTTGAGCTGCTTGGTTTAGTTGCAGAGCTTTCGTCGTTCTTCTGGACAACATCTTCAGAGCAATTTTCAGCATAAAGTGAACTCATTTGAATTTTCATGAGTGATAGAATCGCGTCTCCCTGTAACCATCATTACATATGTATTGATCGTTTTTTATTCAGTTGGATCTTAGACATTCTCATCACATGATTTATTTTTTATTAGTTGGTAGATTGGGTCTATATTAACATGTTTTTTAATCGCATATTCGTGTGAGTAGCAGGCTTTTAGGAATTCCCTGGCACTTTTGTTATCTCCTCTGTCTAGAATTTCGGCATTATCCCAAGCAAACTGATGTCAATAACTATCTACAAGCATTGATATGAAAGAATATATTCCATGTCTTTTCACAGCTGATTTGTGTTCCTGGATTCTGATTCGAAGGAGTTGCCCACTTTAGCTAATATAATGTTTGTTTCAGTTCATACAATTTATTTTGTAAATGGTACTAATTTTATCTCCTTTTTCTGTTGGGTCTTTCGGTTTGCACAATATCGAATTAAGTGACTTGACTGTCTTGTGTGCTATATCTATTTCAAACGGTTTTAATATTCTAGCTGTTATTTCAGAGATATTTTTCACGTATTGTAGGACGAATTTTCTTGTGGTCTTCGGTGATGGTTTCTTGTTGGTGTTTTGATTCGGTTTTAAACACTTTTTGATGAAATTGTGCGGACATCCGTTCTTTTCGAATACCGTTAGTAGGCATTTTTCTTTCATTCTTTTCATTCTTCTTTCCATTCTTCTCTATTATAGATTTCTGCCTTCAGTATAGTCAGTAATAGTGAGGTTAGGCTTAGTGTTAGGCGAGGAGACAAATCTAGTTGACGAAGTTGAGAAGCTCCAGTTTGTCACCTTCGGGATTCGGAAGACCGAACAGTTGTCTTTTCGGTAAATTTGTATCTGTAGTAGTTTCAGCCAACCACCTATCCGATAGATAGCTAGTAGCATAATTAAGAAAATTTTTGAATGTATTCACTTCGCATGTATTAATTTTTCAACTGACTGTTATTCAGAATGGATTATTCACACTAACTAGCTCTTTATCAGGACGAAATAAATAGTAACTAACTTAGGAATTAATGAAACATGTAATTCAGTAGAGTTTCCTCCAGTTGTCAGTCTAAAATCTATCTGATAGATTCAAGGTTAAGTCTGATTTCATAAACCAGGTACTCATCGTTGGTCTTTTCTTAAAAGGCGTATAATCATGTATTGCCAGTTACATTTTAACAACCATAATGTATCATTAATGTTCACATGAAGGTGAACTACAGTAGTTGGCTCATGAGCAACTTATTTTGCTGTACATGCATGTGTCATATCTTTCACCCCTATTGAATACGTATAGATTCCAGTCCAGTGCGTATACTCGTTAACTCGTTGTATTTTCACTTTTACACTTGACATCAATTACCTAATTTCTATAATATATCATTTTCCAAGAAGAGTTTCTTAGGACAGTTTTTCTTAAGTACAACCTATTGCCATCATTGTGTGTGTGTGACCCGATCAATAAGTATAAGACTTTGAACAAACCACTAACAACATAAATGGAACAAAATAAAACAGATCAATTGTTTATATCATCGGTATCTTCTCAACTACGTCAAATCTGAGTAATGAAAGTTAATAGTTTTATTGGAGTTCTAACATACTTTAGTTCATTTGAGACTGTAGAATAATAATCAGTAATGATCATGGTATATAGATGAATCGAAATGTTAAATCAGAAAAATATAAAAATAGTGCTATACTTATATATGTAATGTGATCGAGGTTTCTGGGATAAAACAAAAAGTGGGAAACAAGGATAACAACGAGATATTGGGATATGTAAATCATAATATTACCTAAGTCATTATTATTATTTCCTTTAATTCCTAGAGGAACATAGGGCTTCAGCCGCGCGTCTCCATTGCGTTCGGTTCTCTGCTAGAGTTTTCACCTCGCTCCAGCTCTGCCCACATGCTTTCATCCCTCTTCACATGACCTCCTCCAAGTCACCCTTGCACTGACGACCAACTCGTCGCTTCCCTTTCAGGTTCCACTCGAGCGATGGCTTGTCTAGTGATGTCACTTGATGGTTTCCTCAGAGTATGGCCGGCCAATCCATCTCCATTTCTTCCTGCCTATTTGTTTCACAATCGGTTCCTGGTTGGTTCGCTCCCAGAGATCTGTTGCTGATCTTTTCTGGCCATCTGATCTTGAGTATTGAGCGAAGACAACTGTTAATGAAGGTCTGAAGATTGTTTGAGATGCTATTTATGACGCGCCAAGTCTATGATCCATATATTAGCAGCGACTTCACATTGGGGCTGAAAATCCGGATCTAATTCTTGATGTTGAGTGCTGTTGACCTCCACATAAACTTGAGAGTAATAAAAGCTTGTCTTGCTTTTCCGATCCTTGCTTTGATATCCTCGTCAGTTCTGTCCGCCTGTAGTTGAAATGATGCTTCCCAGGTAGCTCCATTATGGATAAGATTTTATTTTTTTTATCGCTCCCCAGGTAGGTAAAGGAGGTTGTTTCTTTCAGGTTCCTTCCATTTATGCTGATTGCTGTCTGTTGTTGGTGTTGCCCTGGAATCTTCATCACCTCTGTTTTCTCTATGTTCACCTGAAGTCATATCTTTGGTGCTTCTTCTGCCAGCTTGTTGCTTTTCACTTGCATATCTTCCAGTTTGTGGGAAATCAGACATATATCATCGGCGAAGCCCAGATCCTCCAAGTTTTTGTGTGTGTCCGTTTTATGCCTGTTTCCTCATTGCCCGCTGTCTGTCGCATTATGCAATCTACTGCAATCAGGCAGCCTTGTCTTACTCCCGTCTTCACTTCGAACCTAAGTCATTAGAAAACCATAAATAAGCAGGAACAATCGACATGATTGTCATTGTGAATAATAATGTGCTGCTGAGATATCACTTCGTAAATAGACAGAAGACCAGTAGTTCAGCGGAGTCTCTTTAAAGCGAATTCATTCTCATAGCTGTACAGTCGCAAATATATATGGTTGATTTGTATGTGTATGGACATTAAATTTGCCAAACGAAAATACAATTAGTAAGTTCAAATGAATTGATTGTTGATATAAGCGGGTAGTAACAAAAGTGATGACTTCGTAAATAAACATGTATCAGTAAACAGGAAATAACGAAGAAACAGTAAATAGCTGGCCCAAAAGTCTACCTATTCAAGCCCTTAATATTGATTACAACCTGTCACGTAGGTTTTAAGGGAGATATGTTCTTGATGAACTCTGTGAACCAAGAAACCTAAATCCATGAGCTTTTTTTCCGATTTTTTGATTAGCATAACTACCATGATGTTTATTTGATAGACAACGAGACTAAATTTATACTATGCTCCCGTATCTTCATAGCAACTCCACCGTCTTTAGTGGAGTTGTCTTGATTTTACGATTATACTTTGAGTTTTTTTTTAAACTTCCAACTTCTTTGATTTTTCTCCCTCCATCTGTTTTTCTATTAGTTTTGGGAGCATTGTTTAGGCACTATGCTACCTGGTGAAGTATCATCTTTCATAGTGCCTGCAGAAAGACTTGCTTCATTTCCAGCTGTCAATAAAAAACTACGTGATTATATGTTAGACAAGAAAGATCATGCTGTAAAACACTGTTGTGGATTAATGGGCTTACAAGAACAAGGCGGTTTAGGCTATCCAGATCTTGATGAGTTAATGATGAAACCAGAATCTCTTGAATTTATTTTCGATCTGATCAAGTGAGTCTCTTTTTTTGTATCTTTCTTGAGAATTACTATCTTAAAATTTAAAATAGAATGTAGATCATTTGATGCTTTGATCTACTCATCACCGAAATTTCACATCAACGTTGTGTACTGAATTGATATTTCCGTGTAAAACGTTAGTTGATTACCTGTTAGTTATTAGACAAGGATATATAATTCAGAACTTGAAGAGGTTACGAATCGATTAGGGTTTTTCATGCTTCATATCAGGGGAAGTAAAGAAATGTAAAGTGTGATCAACGAAAATAGCAGAGTCTAATGTTATCGAATGATACAAAGGTAAGAATTCGAATAAATTCCGTTATTATAGAGTAAATAAAAGGTGTATATGTGGCTGATGTAGTTACTTCACTTCTGACCATTTAATGATACGTTCGGTTTATTTATTTTCCCTTTTCGCGTTCCCAGCGGATCATACACGGGCTTAAAACTTTCAAATTTCAGTAGTGGTCGTGTTATTTATACGGTGTGGGATTGCTAACCGAGCCATCTCTCTTTTTCGGTTTTACTACAAAAACGTCTGGGTTTAGGATATAAGTATAAAACTTGGGCACTGTGGTAGAGTATAACTCATTATTCATAAGATTTTATTTTGATAAGTCACACACAGTTACACAGTAATATTAACTGATGCGACCACGTTTCGAGCACAAACTATTGCTCGTAATCACATCAAGTTACTCACACAACATTTTTCCTTCGTTTATATACATATGTGGAATTGACTAGGTATTTGAATAAAAATCAGTATGAGATAATGTACATTCATAAATAATAATATGAGTGTTATCGATCAAATACAATCAGATGGGAAATAAGAGAGTGTTTTTATAGTCATAATAAGTTACTTGTTAGAATGTTGTGATGTACTTGAATTGGAATAGGGTTTAGGAATGCGTCGACCGAGAATCTAACCCAGATCTCTCTTGTGGCTGGCTAGCATTCTGTTACTGAACCACCGACTCCTAACACGTTCTAACTCTCACAAAATAGACGTAGTGCACCAACTTGTAAGGAAAAAGGTGTTCCTTCTTGTAAAATGCCTCGATAAATAAAACAGGAACTACTGTGTACTTTCGTTTATTTTGATGGTAAAGCAGAAGTATGCCTAACTCTCACAACGACATACGAAATACCTAAGATGACTATTTCATTTGTCAAATGTTTCAGTGTCATGCTAGACATCATTATCAGTGCTTCACGTGTAATTGAAATAATTTATGCAATAATTCAATCAGCCCTAAATACAAGTATTCTCCAACATTTCAGGTCACATAGTTTCTCATTATACCCACTAATCATGTTTTCTGATAAGTAACATATTTTGGAATGGGGAAGTAATGGTGAAAAATACTAATTCGGAACTCAGTTGAGGCTCCATAATTTGAATGACTACAAATAAGATCCCTGAACAAGGACCGATTTGGACGTTAAGCTTGGTTCCAGCTCCTAAAGCGTATATTAATGTCGTTTTAGTTAAAAAGCTCGTAGTTGTACCTGGGTTGTGTAGTCCAATGCTGTTACTTGTTCACTGCTCTTTGGTTACGATTAGGGATTGTGTTTGACTGTGCGGCCCTTCAGCCGTGTCTGTGTCAACCTGTGTTGATGGAGATGAATAACTTAGTCTTGCCGACAATTCTACTGACATGCCTTTGGATTCGTTTAACCAGGTGTCGGGAACGGATGACATTCTTACTGTCAACATATTTCATTGCTCAAGGTAGGCATTTGTGCCTCCCTTTTTATCATTATTCGAAAATTTTAATTTGGTTTGTTTACACTGACAAGTATTTAATATATAATTGTGAAACTATTAATAATAACATAAGAGAGAAAATAAGACATCTACAGTTATACCATATAAGGAGGGGACATCTGAGTCCCTACGTAGGATTATTAATAAAGCAGGAATTAGGGTGGCATTCAAACCTGCAAAGTCACTCATGGACAAGCTCTGTAGGTTAAAGGACCTAGTTGACCCAATTAGACAAAATATAATTTACAAAATACCCTGCAATGACTGTGAGTTAGGTCAACTACATAGGTCAAACTAGTAGGTCAGAGGTAGTCAGATTATCGGAACATCAGAATTTAGTTAGCTAAAGGAAAAGATAAGTAATTTAGAAAAAAAGCTCAGCAATTACACTCCACGCATTAACACACAACCGCACAATAGGATGGGGTAGGGTTAAAATTCTAAAAAGTAATATAGGTAGGTGGAGAGAGAGATTGTTTACTGAATCCTGGTTCATTAAGTCTACGCCCAACACATGCAACAGAAACGACTCAATGCAAATACCAGAAATATGAAGATATTATTACAGCCAGTCAAATCAGAAGGGGATAATAAATAATCATAAAATTCTATTTCAATTCGAACACATCACAACATTCTAACAAGTAACTTATTATGACTATAAAAACACTCGTCTTATTTCCCATCTGATTGTATTTGATCGATAACACTCATATTATTATTTATGAATGTACATTATCTCATACTGATTTTTATTCAAATACCTAGTCAATTCCACATATGTATATAAACGAAGGAAAAATGTTGTGTGAGTAACTTGATGTGATTACGAGCAATAGTTTGTGCTCGAAACGTGGTCGCATCAGTTAATATTACTGTGTAACTGTGTGTGACTTATAAAAATAAAATCTTATGAATAATGGAGTTATACTCTACCACAGTGCCCAAGTTTTATACTTATATCAAGCTTTATATGAGCAAAATTAATAAGACGAATCTGAGTTAATTTCACTGAATGTTCCATATGCTATGCCTGTCTAGCTATTGATCAGGATACCTGTTCTCTCTTTAAGTCTGTAGACAGAGAATAGTCATTCATAGTATGCTTATTGTTATTGTCTTATGTATACAGGTCGATGAAGTAGAACATAACTCTTTATTGTTAAATCGAATCAATAAGGGCGTTATATTTTGTTAAGGATAAGTTTGTTTGGTAATTGCCCAATTCGTCTTTCTTGTTTGTATTTCGTTTTACATCAACATCTAAAGAGCATCAAACATTTAACGATTTTTTCTAAGTCTAAAAATACTTTGATTTGTAAGCATTTGAAACTCAATACATTCATTCATACATATAGGCTTTACTATTTATTGCATTACAAAAAGCCATTATCTAAAGTGTTTGATAAAATATTGTGAACATTCTAGAAGGTGATTTAATCATGTGAGTCTGAGCCCCAGGATATATTTTGTTTTCTTTCGTCCCAACAGACATTTCCTGTCCATCTAATCTCTCGGTGTCTTACCGACTAAATAGTAATAATATCATTTACAAAGTATAATAATTATACAGAACAGGATTTTCTCAGCTTTGTGGACATTCAAACAATCTATCTCCTTTCAACACGTAAAAAATAACTTGAGTAATAAGAGTAATAAACCTACTAAAAGAGGAGTTTGACAGAAGAAGAATATTTGTAATAATAATATTGGCAATAAGTTGTTGTTTATTTACTGGTTATAAATTAGAACAAGACACATAAGAATAACAATTCAATAAATAAATTAGGTCAAATGTCAAAAGTTACGTAATACTAAAAGGGAAGTGGACAGATAGATAATCAGAGTTTAAATAAATATCATAAAAGTACGAAAGAAATGGAAAATACGAAAGAGTAGAAGGGTTTTGATTGGAATTCACCTAGGCCAAGGGAGAGACAAAGGTAGAACAAACTTCATTTGTATGCAAAGACTAGGATTGTTCTCTTGAATTCTCATAGCTTCGGCTCTGTGTAAAAGCCGGGTTCGAATTCCGTTCGAAAGGCTCGATGGAATGCGTTAAATAACTTTGAAGGCACTATTTCTGTCCACTTGATGACCACTATCAACCAAAGGAGCCAATATATAACTTCTTATGAATTTTATTTAACCTTTTCCGAACCATGAAGAAAGATGCTCATTAATACGTTTGTTAAGCTGTCCAGTTGTTCGCGCCATATAGCTCTCTACAGGAGCAACTAAATTTGTAGACGCACATAGAAGTGCACAGCTAGATAGCTTGTCTTTCGCATGAGCAATCATAACTGGTCGGCTGGAAAATGGCAAACAAAGGGTGGCGGCAGTATAAGTTCGTTTTATTGCTCTTGATAATCTCTGATGTAAGACTTCACTTGCCACGTCCCCATTAAATTGCAATTTCAGGAACAGTTGTTTCGTTTTATCTGTTGCCAGTTTCTCTTTACTATACTCGGTGTTCATGTGTCTCCTTACAAATCTGCCAGGATAAGCCATTTGGACCAGCGTATTTTGGAAGTATCCTAAGTCATTTTCTAGAAAGTCATCAGTACTGATCCGTCTTGCTCTATTCGTGAGGCATCTGACCAAATTGATTTTGTATCGGATTGGTACAAAACTGAAGAAATGTGTATATTGTCCTACAGATGTAGGTTTTCTATAGACATCTCTCTTGAATGAACCATCCTCTCTTCTGCTCAATTGGACATCAAGGAAGTGTTGTCTACCATCATGTTCTTCACAAGTGAAGATGAGACATGGATGTGCATCATTAAATTTTATTAACATTTCATTCTTGTCAGCTTTCACATCAAGAATAATAAACGTATCATCAACATAGCGAAAATAAGAATCAGTTTTATCTATTACTTGTTTCAATGGACCATTTTCAATCTTGGCAAGAAAGAAATCTGCCAAAATTGGCCCCAATGGAGAACCCATGGCAATGCCGTCGATTTGTCTGTAATAAAGGTTGTTGAATGGGAAGTGTACATTCATAGTACATCTTAAAAGCAACTCTTTCAGACTAATAACTGGAATTCCGATGTCGAACTGTTTTTCTAGTATCTGTTGGCATATGACCTATCGGACAGGCTAGTTCAGGGTCATTTGACTGTGGTATCTGTTCTATACTCTTACCGGTTGAATTTTTATATTTAGTCGTGTAAGCATAAATTCTTATGAAATTTCCCGTCCCAACTAGATGAATGGAAAAAGTTGCGAATAAATAGATATGTAGTATCCCATGAGATGACTTTAGCCAGTCGCTTACAAGAATTAAAGAGCCTATAAACAATAATGTAAGTTAGTCGGATCAAAGGCATACCACTAAGCTTGCTTACAGCCTTCAAAGTCATACATAATATAACGTAGTCCTTTTCGAGAAGTCCATGAAGTAATAAGGGAGAACAATAAAGAATGGGCAAAATAAATGAATTAACACAAGACATAAAACAAGAGGTTGAATTACGGTAATAATTAAGGATATTTCAACTTAAATGCATTGTATTACTTAAATCTAGCTTGCAAGTTTTTTTTCGTTGGTTAGATGTTGCAAGAGAAAACATTTAGGTTTATGGTACTAATCAAAAGTTCAAAGTCAAACGGGAAAGCGCGTTGGTCAGAACGATTACGTTAAATCCGAAGCAATCAAAATAGATATCGTTTTTCAGGGTTATTTTACTAGTAGCGCTAGCAAGACTATTTCTAGAATATTCGCGGAAAATATTTATTCAAACATTTATTGTATAGAATGTGGGGGAATGCAAAAACTAATGCTAACTTCGGTGATTGTGGTTTGTCGGTTCAGAGGTAGTTTGCTCGCCAACCATGCAGTGGTCCGGGGTTCGACTCCTGGTGTGCGCATACCTTTACCTCCGCCAACCGGTTGTAAGTTCAACAAACAAGGAAAGTTGGGCATGAGGCTAGAAACCCCATCCCGTAGAAAAAACACCATTGCTACGAAAACTCCAAAGTTCATTGTTCCACTCGGAACCCAAAGGAATAGAAAAATAAATAACTTAAGAGATTCCACAACATATTTTTGAGTATGAGTTCCTGTGTCCAAGATGATATCAATTCCGATGAGGTAGGAGACACCCCTTGCTGATGGACTGAAGTATTCACAAAACTTAGGTCAATGCCTTAATGGCGTTTGCCTCTAACAATATGAAAATCTTTATTTATTTTCTACGTCACTTCCATTTCTTGGTTAGAGGATTTCATCATGAGCTGACATTGTTTAGGGAACCATTGGAAAACCTGAAAGTACTGGACAACTGTTTCGTCCTAGTTTGGGACTCTTCAGTACACATCCACCGCAGGGTTTGAACCCAGGACCTTCTGGTTACAATGCGAGCTCGTAGACCATCAAGCCACTGGGACCGATCCAATGGCCCATGAATTCTAACTTCTGCCAATTTCCGATATAGCGCAACCCCCTAGCCAATGTCTTCAGTGAGTACTTGTCCTCACACCCGACCTGCTGTACCCTACCGGTCACGACTTCCCACTAGAACCCCAGGTAACTACCTACTTGAATAGGGCCAGTCGCTACTGAGAATCTTACTGATATTCAAGTATTGGTTTGTAGGGATTTGGTCGATTGGTTACAGAATTTCATCATGAGCTGACATTGGTTAGAGAACCATTGGAAAACCTGGGAGTATACAGAGACGTTCGTTATAGTATAATTTCATTTATATCGTGTAGCAACATGAATTGCTACACTTTTTTGCCAAGTTCAGCATTCATAATTCAGTTAGTCACTGTACTATGGCTATGAAGATAGTCGGCATTAAGACCTATTAGTTCATATTGTAACCTAAATCAGGTTCAGTAGCTCTTGACTAAAAGGTCTAGATCTTAACGTCTGTTTGTTGAAGAGATTAGGATTGTAATTTTCTTAAGAATTCGAAACTGTAATGTGGTAGCTACTCACCGGACTCTTATTTTTAATATTTAATAACCACATTTATGCCTACTTCGTTTTCTAATTCATTTCCCAAATATTTTTTTTCATATAACTGTTTCGTAGAGTTGAAATTCCGGGAACTAATCGTAAAGAAACATGGATAATGACACCTGAAGAAAAAATTGCAATGATACCAGTTTTACGTGAAGAAGGCAATAAATTCTATGGTCAGGGTGACTATAGCGAAGCCGCTGCACGTTATAGTGAAGCGTTAGGGATTTTAGAACAATTAGTTTTACGTGAAAAACCCGGAGAACCAGAATGGATTGAATTAGATAAATCCCGTATACCGTTATTTGTAAATCTTGCACAATGTCAATTCAAAATGAAAGTAAGTAACTCTGTGATGAATTTTTATTGTCATATTATGTTACTGAATGTATAAGGTGAATGTGTGAATTATTTAATTCCACTTTATCTCATGTTCTTACTCGACTATACACTTTGTGTGGATTTAAATGATAATCAAAACTCGCTGACTATTATTCCATCTTGTACCTGTATATCACTTTGTGACTTATTTCTAATTTGCCTTTCGTGGCTATTGCAAGCGGAAATTAATAGACTTATAATTGTAGAGCCTAATAAAGAAACTACTTAAAACAATTGTTCGCTCTAATTATTTTTGTTCTAATAACTGTTTGTATAATTATGAAGACGCAAATAATACTGATGATGATAATAAGTGGTCTGGAAACCGCTTAAACAGCTAGCTATATGGTGATGCTGCATTGAAGGAGATTCACAACAGAGGACTCAGTGAATGCTTTGAGTTGAACACAGGAGTAAGGCAGACTGTCTACTATCATCAATGACATTCCCGAATTTGAAGGACTGAATCATGCAGCAGACCTTGGGGTGCCTGAAGACAAAAATTTCGTTGAATCGACAATGGACTGTAGGAGATCTGGACTTAGCGGACGATTTATGTGTAATATCACACAAACTCGAAGATCTACAGGTTGAAAGTAACAGGTTGGCAGGAGAGGCAGACAGCAAAAAGAGGACTTCAATAACAAGCCTCAACCTCTACTAGTCGGAGAAATTCGAAGGTTTTTTATTCCATCTATCTATACAGTACCGTTTCAAATACAAGTGGCTTGGGTGAAGATTTCAAAAGTAATATCAGAAAAGCAAAAAAAAAATGCCTTCACTAATCTGAATTCAACGTCGAAGTTTGCTGCACACAATATAAGGAACAAGACTCGGATTACAAGCACTAATGTCAAGTCAGTGCTTCTATATAGTTTAGAGACTCGGTGCATCGCCGAAAGTATTTCCTACAGGCTTCAGACTTTTAACAACAGTTGTCTTCTCTCCATATTGAAGATTAGACAGCCTGTTGGAAAGCATTAGCAATAAGCCACTCTAGCAGTGAACCAACTAAAAACCCATAGCCTAACAAATATGCTAAAGAAAATGGAGATAGATTGGGCACACTCTAAGAAGACTACCGAGCAACATCACACACCCGGCTTTCAAGTGGAACCCGAATGAAAAACAACGAGTTGGTTGTCTGAGGGTGACATGGGGGAAATCATGTTACAAGAAGATGAGATCCGATGAGCAGTCGTGGTGCCAGCTAAAAGAGACTACGGAGAACAGAATGAAATAGCAATACGCTGATGAAACCCTATATCACTCTCGGGGATCAAGGGAATAATGATAATAAATAGTATCCATTAACTACACTGAACTTGGAATGTATTTATTAATCCAACAATGATGATATTTGGTTACAGAATTTCATCATGAGCTGACATCGGTTAGAGGGACCATTGAAAACCTGGGAGTACTGTAACCAGTCAATCAAATCCCTACAAACCAATACCTGAATATCAGTGAAATGCCCAGTAGCGACTGGCCCTATTCAGGTAGGTAGTTACCTGAGGCTCTATTGGGAAGTCGTGACCGATAGAGTACAGCAGGTCGGGTGTGAGGACAAATACTCGCCTAAGACATTGGTTAGTGTTCGGGCTATGTCGCGAATTGGCAGAAGTTAGAATTCGTGGGCCATTGTATCGGATTCCAGTGATTTGATGGTCTACGAGCTCGCCTTGTAACCAGAAGGTCCTGGGTTTGACCCTTGCGGTGGATGTGTACTGAAGAATCCCAAACTAGGACGAAACAGTTGTCCAGTACTCCCAGGTTTTCCAATGGTTCTCTTACTGATGTCAGCTCATGATGAAATCCTGTAACCAATCATTCAAATCCCTACAAACCAATACTTGAATAATGATGATATTTCTCGAACTGTAATTCATGGCATTTTGAACTTATAACTCGATGGCTAGTACTGTTACCATGTAACCTCAGATAATAATTAAGCATATATTTTTGTGGAATCATATTGATGAGCAAAGTGTAGAAGTCATTCAGAACCACGTCAGCTGACACAGAAATAATGGAAACCTTGAATTGCACTGCACTGATATGAGTATAGAGTTTGGGTACTGTGGTAGAGTGTTACTTACTTGCTTATGACGTTTCGGGCACAATTTATTACTCAATCATACCAAGGTTTTGAATTCATAACCCCACCGGTTGAATTGAGCAGCTAAATCAGTGAAAAAGATAGCTCTTACTTTGAAATAAGATTGCAGTTGATGTTTTTATATGTAATTGTTATGAATCACTTGCACACTCTGTCGAGAAAGTGAAAGCTCTCCTCCTTGTACAGTTACCCTTAGTTTCAAATTGCACCATGGTGCAGTATTCAGGTGTTCCTATCTTCAGAGAATTGAAGTTTCCAAAGAATAGGTCTAATTAGAAGTTATATGTCCTTTCGAAAAATGCGTTAAACCAACAGAAGTAGAATAGTCAAGTTAGACTTATTTTTAGCCTTGTCAATGTTGTTTTTTCAATTGTTCAATTCTAAGACCTCGTTATACATTGTGTTCACTTTCGGTTATTTTTCTTCATCAAACTAATTTAGGATTATTATGCTGCAATACGTAATACCACTGAAGCGTTATCTCGAGATCCGACAAATATGAAAGCACTTTATCGTAGGTCGAAAGCGTATACAGAGACATGGGATTTAGACTTGGCAGCTGATGACCTACGGAAATTGGCCAGTTGTTATCCTGATATGAAGAATACAGTGGATAGAGATTTAAAACTGCTAGAAGTAAAACGTGTTGATCAGGAGATGAAAGAAAGACAAAAACTTGCTGGGAAACTGTTAGCTGGTTTGAAATCAGACACAAATTAATATGTCAACTTCATGTGTGTATCATAGTGATGTAAATGTTGCGGGAGTCATGCGATTTAGATGATGCACACCTTGCGTAAGCAATTTTATTTTACACACGAGTTTAAACGAATCATCGTCATTCAATAGTTTCAACTTTTTAAAATACTTTTTGCAATTATTTCATTTTAAGACAATTAGTCCCTTTGATGACTGACTGACCGGTTTCAACGTAGAACTTTGCACAAATATGCAGCAGTTCGAGTTGCGACTCTCCGTCCATGAGCACACAGCCAGAAAAGAGAGTAGAGAGAGATTCAAAACAGTGATAATAAAAAGAAATATGAGGCAAAAAGAATAGTAATATGGAGGAACTATGTAGTTTATTGGATGTTATAAATCACAAAGAGTAAATGCATCTGCACAGCTATTGACAACGATTTTGAACCATATCTCCGATTGTCTCTAGCCTCCATTGGTTTTTACCGTCCCGAGGACCCCAACCAGGAGGTCTAGGCCTCCAGACATGACGGGCTTAAATTAACTGTTGTAGATTTCAGTGACTGTTGCCATGTTTTGGCTTGACCACCGCTGGCTCTTTTCCGACCTGACCCTATGTCTGCTAACATTTTTCGTCAGTCGAGGAAGATGATGTCTGGGCATACGCAACACATATGTCCTAACCATCTCAGTCGGTGTGACTTCACAACCTCATCGATTGCTTTCCCCTGCTTACGTAGCACTCGATGCCTAACCTCAATATTGTTCACCTTATTATACCATTTTACACGGGAGATAGGACGCAGGCACCTATGATCAAAGACGGCTATCCGGTTTCTTCATACCTTCCACTTTCAATGGCCATGTCTCACAGGCAGCCATAAAGGGGAACGGAGCGGACTGCTGAGCAGTACACCCGCCCTTTGGTCGATAGTCGGATATCTCGTCTTCTCCAGAGACGGCGTAAACTGGCAAATGCGAAACGAGCCCCCTGTATGCGTTCTGAGATTTCGTCTGAGATCAACCCGTTGGGGCTGATGGTACTTCCCAAATAAGTGAAGCGGTCAACGTGCTCTACCACTTCACTTCCTATTTCTAAACTAGGAGTCAGTGTAATCCAGACCTGTAACGTCATCTTGCATTTGGCGGGAGTGAATCGCATGCCGAACATTAGCGGACTCCTGCCCAAGGTGTTCAGAAGACTGCATTTTGTCAGCGTCTTCACCTAGAAGGACCATATCATCTGCATATTCTAAGTCAACGAGATTATTCATAATCTGGTAACAAGTCAATCCCTGAGTCTCTGAAGTAAGTTAGGGTTAGGTCCATTAGTACATCTATGATGAAGTCGAATAGAAATGTTGTCACCACTTTAGATGACAACTCGCCGTAAGCTCTCACCTGGCTGGCTGCATGAGTTCGAGTAGAGTGCCTTGATTAGTGCAATGTATTTTCTCGCCATTTCTTTTACAGCCAAACATCGCCAGAGTACCTCTCGGCAGACAGAATCGAATGCCGCCTTAAGGTCAAGAAATATAACGGTTGTTGGAGACCGGTGAGTATGTCTGTGTTCCAGAATCTGTCGAAGGGCGAAGATATGGTCAATATACCCTCTTCCTGGTCTAAAACCTGCCTGGTCTTCTCGTGTTTGTGCCTCCCGAGCACCACTTAGTGTACGCATGATTATTGAGCCTAGGACTTTGTATACTATATTAGTCAAGCTAATCCCTCTGTGATTATCACAGGAAGAGTTGTCTCTCTCCTTGTATATGGAGATATTCAGTGGGTCATGAGTTCGAGTCTCACCTGAACAGCTGGTTATTATCATCAGCCCTCACACGATAAGTGTCGCTCTGGTAGATAAAAATTCCCAATCAGAGTTTGCTTTTCTCGTGTGTCTGAATATAACAGAATTTCACTGCTAAAACATATGTCTAGTTAAGACAAAAAAGTGTACTTGAGTCTCAGCAACCATGTGCATATGACAATGAACTGTATCTGTTGTATGAGCAACAATCATATTACCAGTTTGTTCACATGTTTTAAGTGAGGTGAGGTTCGAATATGTGATTCATTAGTACTTTCCTTATGCATAGAGACACACTATACTTCTACTTACAATAACAATGTGCTACTGGATTTAATAGTTAGGTGAAAAACAGCAACATATGATGGACAGAGCATTACTGTAATTCATCATGAAGAAATATATTAAGATAGAAGTACATTATTCGTTTGGGTGGTATTGGAAGTGACCTTTTAAGCACTTTAGTGCCAGTTGCCTTGAGCTTCCTGTAAACCGTTTTTAGTAGTTGCCTGTATTCCACCTAATTTCTACCGAACAATTAAGATTCGATCATGTTTTCTATTTTCATTACTTTAGATTTCATCATTTGAAATGTATTTCAGAAAATGAGATCAAAATATTTTAACGAATAAAATTGTATCATTGCCTTATTCATTACATCGTTTACTATGGATATGTATGAGATTTTAGAAATATTGTCCAGTTAGTTGGGCAGTCTTTTATACAGATTTGACTTACTCTTGATTGTTCTCTGATATAACTGCCTAGGCGATGTTTTGAATTTGAAAATCCACGGATTAACGCTTATCAACAATACTTAGAATTGGACACCAGTAACTAGTGTGATATATCTAGTCCTTTCTTTGATGCAGACTGAATTCTATCAGTCTGGTTTGCAATGCGGTCACCATTCTATGTACCTCGCCATCACGGTGCACATCGATATTAGATGGTCGGAGGCGATCAGCATGGCTTCCTGCCGATTGCCTCCAACCATCTAATATCAGCTTATCAGCAATAAAATTTATTCCTTTTATTTTTACATGCAAAAATGGAATGTACAGTTAAATGTATTTTATCTTTTATTATTTTATATCTAAACAGGTTTATATCAGTTAGAAAACAATGTTTTCCAATAACTCCTGGGTGTCTGACAAACTGCTCATCCAAAAGAAATTCTGAAAATCTATTAACAAATAAGTGCATTTATCTTAGGAAATGTGTACTCACTGGTATTGTCAAATACCTCACCGTACGTGTGTGTGTGTGGGTGCCTTTGTGTACATTACTTCTTTAATAAACTTATTAGCATACACTGTGATATGTTTCGTGATTTCACTAATATTAACTTTCATTTTTCATCTTTTATTGTTTTGTTCTTTTTTCATTTCTCGTACAAATTGTTTCATCACACTGCATGCATTATGTTGTTTTCGATTCGAAATGTTTTAAACACTATCCAGCAGATAAATAAATTTCTGAAATAAGCATCTGTTGTTTCGTTTCGGCAGCTGAATATGAATTCTATCGTTGATTTTTGTTTTCATTCCCTTTAATATATATATTATACAATTTACTTGACACACTTCTGTCTATATTACTGATTGTACAACTTTTATTCTGTGTTGTGCTAATCAGTGTAATTCTTTGTGTTTATTGATTCATTTGTTTCTCATTTATTATTTATTTTATCTGCACAAAAGTCGTACAGGATACATTTTGGATGATTTGCTCATTGTTCGTTCGTTTCACATTAATGTTTATTAGCTGAATGAGAGACCTATTGATTTTTTCTGCTTATTATTGTTATTATTATTATTAAGACACATTACGGGCACCAGGAGATGTGCCACACAAAATTTCATAGTTTGTGTGAGGATTTGAATACTACTTGGACGCCCAGACCGAATTAGGTGGTTGTCTTTTGGAACCATTCCCCAACCTTTGACTTGAAGTCGGATCCATAAGACAGTGGAGCAGCGTTAGGAGCTAAGTTCCAATTGTTTTGTGGTAACCATACGCCATTCAATCCGTTCGTATTCTGGAGCCCATGTACACTATAGATTTGGAATCAGGGCTTTCCAGCTCCTGAGATAAATCAGCATGTCCACCAATCCAGCTGTGAAGGCATTAAATGGGACTAAACTGATAGAGGCTATGAAAGTGTCATATGAAAACATTTCGACAGGAAGAGTAACGTCTACTGCGGATGTAACCGGGTCGTTTATGGGGGCTAGTGTATAGTATTGTTATGTACCAGTTTCCCCGTCGCCAAATTGTTATGTACTAGACTGGTCGAGAAACTAATAGTCCTGACGCGAGAAGGCGGAAATCAGAAGACCACTAGGTTTGCGATGATACTTCTATTGTCCAAACACAAGGAGACGAAAATAAATGGTCTCACACCAAAGTGGTAAGTAAGTAAAGTAGTTCACACAAATTGTGAATGCGAATATATATAAATGTTCCAGACAAAGCGTGGGAAAAATCATTAGACAGTCTTAACATGAATGGCTAATTATAATGGAGTGTCGATCCAAATATACATAGCGAATATAGCAGACATGTGAACAACCATATATGGATATATGTCACCAAGTAACGGACTGTCAACAAACACTCATATTATATATAATATAATATAAGGAGAATATACATTGATAAAGGAGACAAGTTCATACCAGTGAAATGGTCACAGACTAAGCCAGCAAACAGAAAGAGAGACCAACATACACACACACATAAATATATATGTGGATACATATCACCTCCCCTTTTGAGAAGATTGATGATTAGTAGGATGTTTACCTGGGGGTTTATCTGGAACCTTTGAGCTTGTTGTTGACGTCTGTCGTTTCGTCTGCGTGTTGGGTTCGCGGCTTCGGCTTCGTCCGGAATCGTCTGACATTTTATGCTTCTTGAACGCATTGCATAGCGAATTTAGTGGGACATCAGCCAGATGCAAACGATCGAACCAATCAAGTCCCAAAAGATTTAAATCATTCTTCGTGACGTAACAAATTCCTGTGAATTTGGTATTGCGGAAGGAAACAGAACATTTGAGTTCACCAATAAGTTTGAGCTGCCCACCACAGGCGCTGACAAGAGACTGGGAAGTATTGGTGATAGGTGGTCTACCAATATAATTCCAAAGTTTCTCTGATATAACAGTAGTATCAGAGGCGGTATCTAACTGCAGACGTGCATCATGACCATTCATTTGAAGGTCAATATATTTCCGCATACTTGGTGTTGTGACTTGACAGGTTGCGCGTAGACTTAATGATCTCCTTGGAGATTTAGGGCCAACAGTTTGTCGAGCTTTTGCTGGATTTTGACATCTGGGTTTGCGTGGCTGACAAAAACCATTTTTATGACCGATGATTTTGCACTTGCTGCAACGATGATTTTTGTATGGACAAGACTTTACAAAGTGCCACGCGCCACAATGCCAGCATGGTGATGGAGGGGTCTTCTTTGTCGTATTTTGTGAAGTTGGACGAGTATCTGTAGATTTCCGCGGGACATTAGAAGAAGGTGGGTCAGGACTGGATGATGAGAGATTTTTGCTCTTTCGTAATGCACGAATATCAGAGCTTCTCGAAGGTGTTGATTCGACCAGGTGTGTATCTTTCTGCAAATTAATCAGCCGTTGATATTCATCAGCTATGTCGTGTAATGTTAACTTGGGATTTTGTTCTAGCTGATTGAGCAGTCGAGTTCGGATATCTGTGAAACGAGGAGATTGAAGACTGCATATGAGGATCAAGGCTTTGAATTGATCATCTGTTAAGGACCTGAGTCGAAATCTCTCACATTCTCGGTTGACTGTGCCAACGTGAGTAAGAAAATCATCATTTTCATTCATTGCCAGCTTGAGGCAACGATAACGTATACTGAATAATGAGGAGTGGTCTCCAAAATGTTCACGCAGCAGCTTTATTGTATCATCGAAACTCTTGTCACGTGGTTTCTGCGGTAAAATTAGGTTGCAGTACCGTTCATATTCTGCCGGACCCAATTTACGTAGCAACACTCGCACCTTCCAGGCATCGTCTTGTGAGGCGAGATCAACAGTGAATAAATCCTCATATCGTTGATACCATGTGTCAAAAGTGACATTAGCCTCTGGGTCATAATTGAACTGTGAAATGCTGTTCACAATGCCGTCGACAGATGGTAGCATGGTATGATTGGGATTGCTTGAAGGTGAAGCTGGACCAGTCTGTTGGTTGACGAACATTTCCATTAATTTCATTTGTCGTTCAAACAATAATTCCAATTTAGAAGGATCCATAGTAAATTGTTATGTTGCTGCTGCTGAGTGGTTAATAGTAGTTTTCCCCGTCGCCAAATTGTTATGTACTCGTCGCCAAATTGTTGTACTAGACTGGTCGAGAAACTAATAGTCCTGACGCGAGAAGGCGGAAATCAGAAGACCACTAGGTTTGCGATGATACTTCTATTGTCCAAACACAAGGAGACGAAAATAAATGGTCTCACACCAAAGTGGTAAGTAAGTAAAGTAGTTCACACAAATTGTGAATGCGAATATATATAAATGTTCCAGACAAAGCGTGGGAAAAATCATTAGACAGTCTTAACATGAATGGCTAATTATAATGGAGTGTCGATCCAAATATACATAGCGAATATAGCAGACATGTGAACAACCATATATGGATATATGTCACCAAGTAACGGACTGTCAACAAACACTCATATTATATATAATATAATATAAGGAGAATATACATTGATAAAGGAGACAAGTTCATACCAGTGAAATGGTCACAGACTAAGCCAGCAAACAGAAAGAGAGACCAACATACACACACACATAAATATATATGTGGATACATATCACCTCCCCTTTTGAGAAGATTGATGATTAGTAGGATGTTTACCTGGGGGTTTATCTGGAACCTTTGAGCTTGTTGTTGACGTCTGTCGTTTCGTCTGCGTGTTGGGTTCGCGGCTTCGGCTTCGTCCGGAATCGTCTGACATTTTATGCTTCTTGAACGCATTGCATAGCGAATTTAGTGGGACATCAGCCAGATGCAAACGATCGAACCAATCAAGTCCCAAAAGATTTAAATCATTCTTCGTGACGTAACAAATTCCTGTGAATTTGGTATTGCGGAAGGAAACAGAACATTTGAGTTCACCAATAAGTTTGAGCTGCCCACCACAGGCGCTGACAAGAGACTGGGAAGTATTGGTGATAGGTGGTCTACCAATATAATTCCAAAGTTTCTCTGATATAACAGTAGTATCAGAGGCGGTATCTAACTGCAGACGTGCATCATGACCATTCATTTGAAGGTCAATATATTTCCGCATACTTGGTGTTGTGACTTGACAGGTTGCGCGTAGACTTAATGATCTCCTTGGAGATTTAGGGCCAACAGTTTGTCGAGCTTTTGCTGGATTTTGACATCTGGGTTTGCGTGGCTGACAAAAACCATTTTTATGACCGATGATTTTGCACTTGCTGCAACGATGATTTTTGTATGGACAAGACTTTACAAAGTGCCACGCGCCACAATGCCAGCATGGTGATGGAGGGGTCTTCTTTGTCGTATTTTGTGAAGTTGGACGAGTATCTGTAGATTTCCGCGGGACATTAGAAGAAGGTGGGTCAGGACTGGATGATGAGAGATTTTTGCTCTTTCGTAATGCACGAATATCAGAGCTTCTCGAAGGTGTTGATTCGACCAGGTGTGTATCTTTCTGCAAATTAATCAGCCGTTGATATTCATCAGCTATGTCGTGTAATGTTAACTTGGGATTTTGTTCTAGCTGATTGAGCAGTCGAGTTCGGATATCTGTGAAACGAGGAGATTGAAGACTGCATATGAGGATCAAGGCTTTGAATTGATCATCTGTTAAGGACCTGAGTCGAAATCTCTCACATTCTCGGTTGACTGTGCCAACGTGAGTAAGAAAATCATCATTTTCATTCATTGCCAGCTTGAGGCAACGATAACGTATACTGAATAATGAGGAGTGGTCTCCAAAATGTTCACGCAGCAGCTTTATTGTATCATCGAAACTCTTGTCACGTGGTTTCTGCGGTAAAATTAGGTTGCAGTACCGTTCATATTCTGCCGGACCCAATTTACGTAGCAACACTCGCACCTTCCAGGCATCGTCTTGTGAGGCGAGATCAACAGTGAATAAATCCTCATATCGTTGATACCATGTGTCAAAAGTGACATTAGCCTCTGGGTCATAATTGAACTGTGAAATGCTGTTCACAATGCCGTCGACAGATGGTGGCATGGTATGATTGGGATTGCTTGAAGGTGAAGCTGGACCAGTCTGTTGGTTGACGAACATTTCCATTAATTTCATTTGTCGTTCAAACAATAATTCCAATTTAGAAGGATCCATAGTAAATTGTTATGTTGCTGCTGCTGAGTGGTTAATAGTAGTTTTCCCCGTCGCCAAATTGTTATGTACTCGTCGCCAAATTGTTGTACTAGACTGGTCGAGAAACTAATAGTCCTGACGCGAGAAGGCGGAAATCAGAAGACCACTAGGTTTGCGATGATACTTCTATTGTCCAAACACAAGGAGACGAAAATAAATGGTCTCACACCAAAGTGGTAAGTAAGTAAAGTAGTTCACACAAATTGTGAATGCGAATATATATAAATGTTCCAGACAAAGCGTGGGAAAAATCATTAGACAGTCTTAACATGAATGGCTAATTATAATGGAGTGTCGATCCAAATATACATAGCGAATATAGCAGACATGTGAACAACCATATATGGATATATGTCACCAAGCA